GAAAATTGCTATTTCCAGAACAGGAGAAGTTGGAAAGCTGAAATTTTAACGGAATGTTCCCTGTCCAGGTAACGCGTAGACAGTTAACTTCCCGAACTCGAAGATCAGTATTTCGCAAATCCGAGTTACCAGGTTTTCGGGCGATCTCATTGCAGCAGGAAATACCACAAAAATGCATTGTCGCACGGGCCCAGCCGGTGCGCATCGTCAGTGATTAAAAATATGTCTGTCTGTGCTATGGAATGATTAAATCCTAAAAATTCGGATATATGAATTATTGCAGGCAACCACGAGTGCGCAAATATTAATAAAGTCTATGGATTTTACGAGGAAGTGAATCGTCGCTATCGCTCAGTTCGTCTGTGGGAAGCATTTCAAGTAACAGAAGCAGAGTTTTGTGTATCTCCGCTTTCGTGGCCCTAGAAAAACATTCACCATAAAAAAGCTGGAAGCTAAAAAGGGACCTACACTTTCAATTTTAAAAGCTAAACAAAAATTCATTCAACAACTCATCAACTTTGTTACATTTGCAGGAAACGTTTAACTATATGCCATTTACGGCGTGCATCGCTGGCCGAATTCTTTGTATGCACGGTGGCCTATCGCCGAAGATGAAAGATATGAATTCGCTGCGTAACATACAGCGCCCAGCCGAACCAAAAGGAGCATCCTTGGAACTCGACCTCCTCTGGTGAGATTACTCTCGTCACCCATAATTTATGAATGGGGAGTGTTTTTAGAAGATTTTTTATTTTATAACTTTCCGGCGATAATTTCCAGGGCAGATCCAGACGAAACTGCAGAAGGCTGGCAAGAGAACAGTCGCGGTGTCTCATTTGTCTTTGGCCCCGATATGTTAACGCATATGTGCAAAAAGCTAGGTGTCGATCTAATTGCTCGTGGCCATCAAGTAGGTTATTTCGTTCTCCTCACCGCAGTTTGGGTTCCTGATCCCCGGACGTTTGAAATGTCTTCATAATTTTGGTAAATTCCAGGAATCTTGATTTTTCTGGCCAGGAAAATTTCAGGAATTTTAGCAATCATATCTTTTCAAAAGCCGAATCCTGGGAAAGTGTTGTTAAGGTAGACATAGATTCACTGGGTAAAGTATGTTCCAGGTTGTACAAGACGGATATGAGTTTTTTGGCAATCGCCAGTTAGTGACAATATTTTCTGCACCACATTATTGCGGACAGTTCGATAACGCAGCAGCGACAATGAATGTGGCTGAAGACCTCACCTGCTCATTCCACGCAAGTGTTTCTAACTGCTTCCTAAAAAAAGTCCTGCCAACAAGAAAGGTGGAAAAGCATTAGC